GCGGGCTGGAGGCCACGGCTTGAAATCCGGCCCCCGGGCAGGGCCCTCGTCCGCCCGCCAGCCCTGGAGCCGGCGCAGCGCCCAGGGGAGAGCGCAGCGCCCCGGAGGAGCAGCCTCCCCGCCAGAGCCGCGTCCTGCCCGGGTGGGTCACAGAGCAGCGGTGTGGGTCCTCGCCTGCTCCCACGCCCCGGCTCCGCTCCCGGGATGGGAGGATGCTGTTCGCCGGGCAGGGGAGAAGGAGCCGGGAGGGAGCAGGAGGGGTCCCGGCGGGGTGCCCCAGACCAGCTCGGTCTCACCGTGCCCACCCCAGTGCCCAGGCAGTGCCATGCACAAGTTGCGAGGGGCCAGCAGCTGCCTGAGCCAGGGGGAAAACCCATGCAGGGACAACCCACGGGGCCGAGACGTTCACCCAGCCCCGCGCGTGACGTCCGTGGAAGGGTCCCGCTCGTTCCAGATGCCGCGGGCCCTTACCTAGAGCACAGCGGCGTTGGGGCTTGCCGTGCTGCTGCGAGCATCGCCCGTACATTTGGGTCCCGCTGAGCACAGGGAGAGCAGAGCTGGGCCTTTCGTCCCAGGCAGATGCTGGCGCAGGGGGACTGGGGTGGGATGAATGTCGCTGCCTGGGGCTGGTCTGCCGACAGCATTGCCTGGCTCGAGGGCACTGCACGCTGTCCCGTCACTCCCTATTGCTCCCTGTCTCTCGTGCCCCAGCGAAATTACTGTCTGATTTGCCCCCTCCTCCTGTGCTGCCTCTCCCTGCACTCTGCCCTCTTCCCCAGCTCACCAGCGGGCAGGGGCAATGTCTCCTTTGCAGGGAGCTGTGGGTGGGGGGAGCTGTGTACAGGCTCTGGGGTTGTGGAGGAGCCAGGCTGGAGGGCCAGGAGGGGCCCTACGGGGCTGAGAGCCAGGCAGGGTCCTGCTGGGACCGGGCAGTGCACTGGGGGGTTCACGTGCGGCTGGGCGGTGCAAGGGGGTGTTGTGCAGCTGGGTTGGCAGTGCCCTTGCAGTGGGACTTCCCTGTGGGGGCCCCACGGGAGCTGTTCCCACTCCCCACACCCTGTGTCTGGGCTGGGTGGGAGCGTGGAGATGGGAAAGTGGGTCAAGGGCCTGGTTCTCCCTTCACAGGATAATGAAGTGTGTCATCTCCTTCCCTGCAGACACACCAGAGGCATGACACCGCCACCGGGCCCTGTGCGTTAGTGGTGGGAGAGCGAGAGCTGGGAGGAGGTCTCCCTTGGCAGAGACTATGGTCGTTGAGCTGGCACCAGCCTCAGCGACCCCACAGCTGCCAGAGCTGGCAATAGGGAATAACCTCCCCACCCCAGAAATGTGGCGCCAGCTCTTCCGGGGCTTCCGCTACCAGGAGGGCGAGGGGCCGCGGGGGGTGTGCAGCCGCCTGCGGGAGCTGTGCCAACGCTGGCTGGGGCCCCCGCGCCGCAGCAAGGAGCAGATGCTGGAGCTGGGGGGGCTGGGGGCGGTCCCGGGCACGAGATGCGGAGCTGGCAGTGGGCATGCAGCATGGAGACCTGCGCCGAGGCCATGACCCTGGCCGAGGGGTTTCAGCCGGGGCAGGAGGAGGACGAGAAGGTCCAGGTGAGAGCATTTCATACTGAACCTCGATGTCGCAGTCCCCATTCCCATGTGTCTGGGGGCTGTTCCCTCCCACCCCAGTCTCCCAGGTCCTGGTTCCCCGGTGACATATTTGGCTTGCCTCAGGTCACAGTGCAGGTGAAGATCGAGGAGGTGTCCTCAGACAAGAGGGTGTCCGCTGGGGCAGTGTGGGGACCTGTTGATTCTTGGCTGGAGCATCCCCAGCCCCATCATGTGGACGTGCTCCAGGAGGAGGCAGGACAGGGTGCAACCCCTGAGCCCCTGGATGAGCTGCTTCATGTCCTCAAAGAAGAGCACATACCCCAGCAAGACTCAGGTGATGTACCGCCTGGATCTTGATACCTGAGCAGCTGCCTAACACTGGGGATGAGAGACTTGAATCTCAGCCCTTGCCTAGCTCTAGAGTGACCGGGATTGAATCTGTCTGAGTGCATGGTGGGGTGGGGTGGTCTCTGTTATTGGGGGCACTGGCTTTTCTCACTGCATGTGTGCAGCACCCAGCAGAAAGGCCCTGTCTCGGTTGGGCCTTGCAGTGCCCCCCCGGGAACGATCCATAATTATGTTCCAGTTGTCCCCCTCTCATCATCCTCTGTACTCAACACTGGGCTGGCTAGTGCAGGTATTGGGGGAACTGGGTTTGCCCAGTGACTTTCCTGGTTTGTGTACAGTTAACAAGAGGCCTCTCTCCTGCTGCAGGTTCCCCTTACACAGAGGAGACTTGGGACCTGTCGGCACATGAAAACTCCTTGGGCTCGTTCCCTGCACAAGCGTCTTCCCTAGGGGCAGGTAGGGAGCAGCTTTCCAATAGCAGGAGGCCCCATCACGTGGGAAAAGCAGCACCGCCAGGTCTAACCTGTGGATTCCCTTTCCCACCCCGCAGATGCAGGGATCCCGAGCGAGGCTGAGGAGCAGCTTCCCGAGGCAGATCCTGCCAACCTGGAGATGCAGAGGATTCCCCCAGGGAGACCGGGGGAGAGAGGATCCCTGACATCTGAGCCAGGCCTACTACAGAAGGTGCAAGGCCAGCCTCCAAAGCGGAGGGAGAGCATGGAGGTAAGCGTGAAACTAGCTTCGTTTGAGTATGGGAGTGCAGCTGGGGCAGAGCCGAGGAGGAGCCAGGAGCGCGGGGAAGAATTTGGGGAGTCCAGAGAGTAGAAGACAAGTAAGCAAGACTGCATCCCCGCTGAGCCAGCTGTGACGGCCTCTGGCATAGCAGGAGCTCGCTCTGCAGGGCAGATAGCCAGGAATGCTGGCACTGGAAAGCCTGGCGGAGCCAGGGTTCGCAGCCTCTAGAAGTACAGCCTTAAAGACTGATTAAAATAGATTGTATGAAGACTGTAAAAACCAAGGAAAAGCCCCTCTGGGTACTCGGTGACACCAGCCAGCACCAGGGAGCACAGAGCAGTGGACACTACAGCTGAGTCTGATGCATCTAGGATTGCAGAGCCCAGCCGTCTCTGCAGCTGGTCCCAGGAGGGTCCCTCCAAGTCACCCAAGGCCGGATCAGCCTCAAGGGTGGGTTGTTTGCTAGGAGCGAGCAATGTTTCGGGTGGCTAGAGGGAAAGTCAGCGTTGGCACTGATGCATCTAGGAATGCAGGGTGCAGAGAGGATGCCTGCACCATCTCTCCAGAGGAGACTGGCTAAAGCGGATAAATGACCTCCTCTTTCAGCAGAGCAGTAGCCACATCACGTCAGCTGAGTACTGGGGAAGTTTGCATCCCTACCTGGCATGGCTAAGCTTGCAGATCTTTGTAGGAAAGAGCAAAGGTCAGGGATGCTTGGGCTGGAGGAGACGAGAGCAGGGGATGCTGATGTAACGCTTGTGACTGCAGCTCCGGGAGGTCTTTGAGGCCGTGGCTGTGTACTTCACGCGGAAGGAGTGGGAGCTGCTGGGAGATGAAGACAAGGTGCTTTACCGGGACCAGATGCTGAGGAATTTCCATGCCCTCGTTTCCCTGGGTAAAGCTCTGGTTCTTGCTTCTCCGTGGAGCCATGCGAGCTCTGAAGTTTATTGTCTTCTCCCTGTTTTTCAACAGTCATGACCTTTTGGCTGGTGGTTTAAATCTGCTTCCTCTGCACTGCTCTGTCAGTGATCAGGCCTCTCTCCTGTTTCATGAGATATATATCCTCCTTCATTTGATGCAGTTGCCTTCATTTGAGTCGTCCCCATTATTGTAACTCCTGGTGCTTCCATATTAGCAGTTTCTTGGCTCTTCCCCAATTTGTCTAACCCCTGGTACTCCCCTATTCAGTAGTTCCTTTGCAAGATGATCTCCCTTAGGGTCACCAGGGGACGGCGATCCTAGTTTAAAGCCCTGAGCATGCTCCGATTGTTACAAGTGTTTGGACGGGACACATGAAGCAGGAGAGGGAGGAGATCAGAATAGTTCCCCAAGGAACACCTCTGAGTGAATCTGTATACAGATGCTGGGAGCCGGGTCGAACGAGCGTGCTTCCTCTTTCCAGTAAAACACTGAGTTTGGGGGTTTTTCTCCACATCCGTCACCAGCCTGTATCTTTGTCCACCGTCAACGGTGCTACTGTGAGTTCTGCGTCCTGTGTATCCTCCTGAATGGCCCACGCCTTATTTCATATGACGATGCTTCCAGTGACTGGCCCACTATCTATTCCTGGTTTCTGCCTGTCATGCCATTTTTTGAATCCTAAAAGTCCACTTATGTCCTCCTTTGCATGCCCATTAGAGTGTTTGAATCCACCAGGTCTGTTCCCAGACTCCAAGCTGGTACCAGATAGAGAGCAACCAAAGATCACCACCCTTTCTATGCTTCCCCCAACAGGCTATCGAGGTCCCACACCAGACTTAATCTGCCACATCCGGCGAGGGGAGGTGGAGCTGTGGGTCTGCGAAGAGGAGAAACTTGGAGAAAACCCCTGGTCTGGCAGCTTGTGTCAAAGTGAGCATCGATACGTCCCCTGTCCCTACCGCAGCACAGCACTGCTCGATGCCCAGAGTGACGGGGAGTGCTCAGACCCGGGAAACCTGCCCTGAGCCGCGTCCATGAGTTCCAGCTAAAAAATGGCTGAGCCTGATCGGTGTTGTCCAGGCACACGTGTGTTCCCACTTCATGCAAGTCAGTGATGTTCAGTTGGAAACGGTCCCCTTTTTCCTCCCTTACTTGGGTGCTGGGACATGAAAACCCTCTTCACCCCTTTAGCAATGTCTCCTATCATCTTTCTCTCTTGAGACGGAGCCCTGGGCCCTTTGCTGGAGGGCTCTCTCACAGGAGACATATAATGGTCAGATAATGCTTGGGCCAGCAGGGAGTCAAGGAGTCAGATAATGCTTGGGCCAAAGCTTAGCCTGCTGTCTCAATTTTACATACATCTTGGGGCCACCTGGAATTATACAATTGTACATTAATTATAATAGTGCATATAATAATTATACACTAATTATACAATTTTACATACGTAGCAGGGACACCTGGAATACCTTGGGCTGCAATTTCCATCTTCACTCAGCAATGTTCGAGCCCTATAATGCCGTGTGGCAGGGCAGGATCTGGTTTGAATCTCCCTGTGGCACCTATCACCGTTGGCAGACGCCCCGGGGTTTATTAAGGATTGGACTAGAGAGAGACAGGAGCTCTGCTGTCCACTGCTGCTGATCCTATTGCTCAGTTTGAATGGGAAGTCCCATCCTCCCTTCTGCAAGAGCCAGGAGTAGAAAGGTTGGGTTTAATCAGTGCCTCAGGCTGTATCCTGGCTGCTGGGTGCGGGTGCAGTCCAGAAACGTTCCTGTTCGGGAGGCTATCAACGGCTCAGTGTTTCCACCAGAATTGCCTGTTTTCTGCTCCATCTTTCAGGCAGATGTTAAAGCCATGAGATCTGAGACAGCGTGCTCACTTGCACTTGGAGCTCTTGTTCTCCTGGAGTAACTTAAGGCCCGGCCGTACTCTGGGGCACATCCCAGCACGGGCAGGTAGCAGGGCTTTCCCTTTCAGAGTTGGACAGGGACTAATTCCTGGGCTCCCTTCTTCTCCCAGCAGATGCTGAGACATTAGCCAGAGCTGAGCCGCGGCTTCCTAACAAAACGTCTGCAAACCCGAAGCCCTTTCCAGCCAGGAACCAGCTACCCACTCAGCCAAACCAGACCAAAGAAGAGAGCCAAAGGAGCCCTGTATGCAAGGAGGGATTCAAAAAGCAGAGAGACCTGAGGAGCTGCAAGGGCAGGGATCTCAGGTGGGAAGGGTGTTATATATGCCGAGAGTGTGGGGAGAGCTTTGGGGACAAAGAGGAGCTCAGGGCACACGGGCGAACCCACAGGAGGGAGAAGACCTACCCGTGCGCTGAGTGCGGGAAGAGCTTCCAGCACAAGTACAGTCTCCGCAGGCACCAGAGACTGCACTCGGGGGAGCGCCCCCACCTCTGCCCCAAGTGCGGGGAGAGTTTTGTCTCCCTGAGTGATGTCCGACTTCACCAGCGTGTGCACAGGGGGGAGAAGCCCTACTGCTGCACCCAGTGCAGGAAGAGTTTCACCCGGTGGGATCGGCTCCAGGGTCACGGGCGCGTGCACACGGGGGAAAAGCCGTTTTCCTGCTCCCATTGTGGAAAGCGCTTCACCGAGAGCTCAACGCTCACACAGCACCTCCGCGTGCACACAGGGGAGAGGCCGTTTTCCTGCACCCAGTGTGGGAAGAGCTTCACCGACAGCTCAAAACTCACAAGCCACCTCCGCGTGCACACAGGGGAGAGGCCGTTTTCCTGCACCCAGTGTGGGAAGAGCTTCACCCACAGCTCCACGCTCAAGCGGCACCGGCGCCTGCACACGGGGGAGAAACTATTCTTTTGCACCCAGTGCGGGAAGAGCTTCACCGACAGCTCAAAACTCACAAGCCACCTCCGCGTGCACACGGGGGAGAAGCCCTTCTCCTGCTCCCAGTGTGGGAAGAGCTTCACCACGGGCTCAACGCTGACACAGCACCAGCGTGTGCACACGGGGGAGAAGCCCTTCTCCTGCCCCCAGTGTGGGAAGAGCTTCGCCCACAACTCCACCCTCACAAAGCACCTGCGCGTGCACACGGGGGAGAAACCGTACGGCTGCGTGGAGTGTGGGAAGTGTTTCCGGCAGAGCGCCGCCCTGACCAAGCACCTGAGAACTCACAGGGACCGGATCCTGCTGCTCGGACAATGGGAACCCAGCCGCAGGGACCACCTCCCTTCCTAATCCTGACCTGAACTGGATGCGCCTCTTTACTGACCCCCCATGGAGCCTCTATTTCAGGTTGCTGTGACCCCAGCCTGGAGGCCTGTGCTGCTTCTCCATCACAGACTCTGGTGGGCCTCTTATCCAGGCCCCCCAGCCTTTCCCCAGTCTATGCAGCGCTTCTGCAATCCAGGCGTCGCTGTAGGTTTTCGCCAAGATGAGCGCCGTGGCTCCTGTGTCTTTGAGAACAAGGTCCTGCTGCTTCCAGAGTCCCACCCCAGCGAGCTCCAGTTGGCTCTGCTCCTTCATATGGGAAGGATTGCCACCCGCACGCAAGTGTGGCAAGGCAGGTCACGTCCCCAGTGCCAGCCACCATATAGCGGCCAGCTGGAATGGTGCCGGCAGAGCCCATGCCAGCAGCGGGCTCAGGCCCAGGAGCTATGTCCCTTTGGAGTCCAGACTACCCCTGTCCTCCAGATCCCAGTTGTGTCCGTCCCTCCCCAAGCCGTTTTCCCCTGGATCCCTGCTCCTGGATGCACCATCCATAGAGACAGCCCTCAACTACCATAGTTCCTGTTGTATCCCCCAAGGATCCTTCCAGAGGAGAGCAGCCCTTGCTCCATAACCGAAGTGCGGACAGCCAGGACTGCTAAAGCACCTTGCGGGCTCCCTCCCCGCTTGGTTAAAGTTAACCCGTTCCTTCCCAGGGTAGAACGGCATACAAACACAGCGGGGAAACTGAGGCATGCCCCATGATGAGAGAAGTGGTAGAGTCGGGCGTATACTGCGAGGTGCATGGCGTGTGCAGGGCCAGGAGGTGGTGCTGAGCTGCTGCCTGGTGGGGATGTCCCCCTGTAAGAGGGGAGCTGATGCACGGTGAGGACAGGGAAGTGATGGGGAAGGCCAGGGTCACCCACATCAGGGAGTGCCCCAGCTGCTGCTTCGCCCCCACCGCTAGTGCTGTAGACAAATGCGAGAGACCGGAAATCTGCCCCGTGCCCTCCCTGCCCTTCACCCTCCCATGGCACAGCACAGGGGGGCCCAGGCCAGGCACTACTACTACCACTAACTGAACAGAGAGGAGGGCAGAGCCTGTTGCCATTGCTACACTCCACCATTTTTTAACCTTTCCTTGATTTCTCCCAACCACATCAAGCCCTGTTCACTGGACTGCTTCCAGGCCAGCTTTCCATCCAGGCCATGGCATGGCCCAGTCCTCTCATGCCTGGTACCTGCCCACAGTCGGGGCACCATGCTCACCTGGTCTCACCCACCATGAAAAGGAGCAGAAGCTGTGCAGGAGAGGGGACCTGCGAGTGTCAGGTCTCAAGGAATATCAGAAATGGTTACATCACCTGGGTTTTTAAGGTGAAGCTGGATCTCCCAGTGGGGCTATGGGAAATGCTGAGAGCCAATCGGCAATCCTGGCTAGAAAGCCTGAAGCACGTTGCTCTCCACGTACTTCTTAAGTGACTAAATCTGACTTTTCACTCTGAAAATCTACCAGTTTTACAATTAACTCACCTTGAGTGCTTTTTAATAACCCGTGTGGCATCAGGGCAGTGTCTGTCATTGCCCCCCCTCCTTTACCTGTAGCAGATTTGGGTGTTTTTTGGCCAATGTGTCTTGTATTTGTGTTACAGGGTTGGTCATATAGTTTTAGAAACAGGTTAGTCGGGGACTTGTATGGGATGGTTTGGCTAGGGCTGACTGTCTCAAACAGGGAGTTTAATTACATGACCCATGGAGGTTCATTTCAGCCCTACTTTCCTTTTGCTTTTCCATGGGTTGGTATTGAACATGGTGTCTGTGTGGCCGGGGGAGGCACTTACTGAGTTTTGGTGAGTTGTTGCAGGCTGGGTTGGCAGCCCCCTCCCCTCCCCTCCCCCCCACCCCCCCCACACCAGCTCACCACTAATCCCTAAGTGGCCCTCTGGCCCAAATACTTGCCCACCCTGATCTAAGAGCAGAGGTGAGTGGACAGAAGTTAGAAGGAACTGAACCTTTGTTCCCCCCTTCTCCACGTACCTTCTCCCCTGTCCTGAGTCCGCATCATGCGGCCAAGCTGATGACACTGTGTTCCCGTGTGCCACTTCGGGCCATGTGGGTGCAGCTGGTGTGGCTCCTGCCTGACCCAGCCACGTGCCGGGGACTCGGGGGCGGCTAGAAGCCGTGCCAGGGTTGGGCAGGAGCTGCTCTAGGGATGGCAGGAGCTGTGCCAGCTGCTCCAGCTGTGCCCATGTGGCGCAACCCAAAGTGGTGTGTGGGAACACAGTGTCGCATCACATTAGGTGTGCCCAGGCCCTGGCCCAGCAGAGCCCTCTTTCCCCTGCACGCCCTCCCCACCAGCAGGGAGAACCTTACTTGAGCTTCAACTCATTAGGGGCTGGGCCCTGGTCTGTGAATGACCGCAGGGTCAGAGCTGCACACTGGGCAGAAGCCTGGCCAGCTCAGTGCCCCCTGCCTCAGAGCGTGCACCGGGCACCGGGGAGGGATGTAGCTGCCGCTGCTGCATGGGCACGTTCATGGACCTTTGCTCCAAGCTCGCCCCCCTGCTTCAGCACCAAACATCGGGCTTTGATGCCCCACGTCCATGGAGACAGGTCATAATGGTAATCTGGAAACTGGCAAATCCTGACAGCATTCAGTGCTTGGCCAACCAATTTGGTGTAGCGAACACATGGGCAACGCTTGCCATGCACAAAGTGGGGGAGGAAATTCTGCAGCAGCTGGGGCGTCAGATGCTTTGGCATGGGGATCCAGGTGTGGTGACTGCTGCCTTCAAACAGCTGGAGTTCCTGAACTGTGTTCAGGCCATTGATGGGACCCACATCCCCATTCTGTCCTGCCCTCACCGTGCCTCAGCTT